TCGACAGGAAGCCGTACAACGCGGGGGAAATGCCAGGCGCGCAGAAGTTGTTGCAGGTGCTTCGCGGGGAGGCTGTGAATTGGGAGGAGTGGGGGGCGGTGCTGATGCCACGAGACCAATGCGAGCGCTGCCGGCGGAGATTGTTGGTAGAGGCATTCACGAAGTACGAATTCCAAAGAAAGGAAAGGCCGGCGTTCTGCAAAGAGTGTACGGAGGAGATGAAAAACGCGGACGAAAAATGGTGCAAAACGTGCAGAGGGTGGGCAACGAAAGCCGAGGGTGACGACGCGGCAAGGCAAGGTAGCGGTCGGAACGCGGATGCGGCGGCCGACGACGGGGAGACGAAAAGGATTAGGACACTGTGCTGCGCGAAGTGCAGCCATGTCAAAGCCAAGCAGAACTCGCGGAAAGGCAACGCGAAGTGGAACGAGAGCGTCGGCACTGTGCGATGTACGAACGGTAAGTGCCTGTCGCTGTGTGATGAAAAGGCGGAGATGTCCGAAGCTCAGAAGAAGCAGAACGCAGCGGTCCAGAGGTTGTGTCGGAAATGTGCGGAATAACGTGAGAGGAGGACGCGCGAGTTGAATAATGCGAAACGCGTGATCACATTGCGGTGTTCGAACGGCGACTGCCCGTCGCAGTTCCAAGAGAAGGCGGAAATGTCCGATGCTCAGAAGAAGCACAATGCTGCGGGGGAAAGACTCTGTCGGACATGCGCGGAGAAACGAGAGAAAGAGGTGCGACGGGGCAATGCGGAGGCAGCGAATCGCAAACGGAAAGCCGAGGCGGACGCGAAGCCGCTGACGTGCGCGGCGTGTGGAGAAGCGTTCACGGACGCGAAACATTTGAAGCCGAAGCAAGTCTAGCATCATCGACGAGCGTCCGGCACCAAAGTGGTGTGCACAGGCTGCACGGAACTCGGGTTCACATCGCGCAGCTGCCAGGCTTACCAGTGCAGCGGCGCGTGCAAGAGAAGATTACCGAAGTCGGCGTTCCCCGACCCTCCCAATGTCGCGCGCGACGCAAAGAAGGGCACCTTGAAGTGCAAGACATGCAGATGATGTCCAATCGGACGCGCGTACTGGGGAGAAAAAAGGAAGACGGGAGAAGAGGATGGGTGAGGCGGAGGATGGCGGGGAGCAGCATCGAAGAGGATGAGGTGAAGCGGGGCAGGGAAAGGAGGAGGGAGACGAGGAGGAGGTGGAAGAGAAGGAGGAGGACGAGGGGGACTCTGAGATGAGCCGTTGGGTGGTGGTTTATGGGTTAGAGATTTCTTGTATGTGTATCGGGATCTCGCGGGACGCCCCTCGGGGACATCTGGAATGCAGCTTTGAAGCCACGAGGGGCAGTTTCGGAGCCTCCTGCGGTCTCTTGGAGCACTTTAGGGCCCCCATGGAGCTTCTGGGGGCGGAAAACGCAGTTTTGAAAGGGGGGGGGGGGCCGCGCGTGGCGGCTTGTGTGGTGATCGCTGGGATCTCTTGCGGTGCTTCTCGCGGTGCTCTTGGAGGCAGTTTGGAAGTCTCTTGGGGGCCGGTTTGGGGCCGTTTGGGAGCCTTTTGGGGGCGTCTCGGGGCTTGTTGGGAGCGTCTTGGGGGCCTCTTGGGGGCCACTTGGGACCTTCTGGGGCCGTCTTGGGGCGGAAGGCTCGGGATGTCGGTTCCGGTTCCCCCTCTTAGGCCCCTCTTGGGGCCGTCTTGGGCCGTCTTGGGGGCCTCTTGGGCAATCTTGGCGCCATCTTGGGCCAACTTGGGCGTCTCTTGGGAGCTTCTTGGGCCGTCTTGGGGCGGTCTCGGGGTGCTCTTGGACCGTCTTCAACGCCGTGAAGGCGGACAAGTCGTACATGATCAAAATGTCCGTTTCCCCGGAGGAATTTGACGATTTTCGGCTTTTCGGCCCTTCTGAGGACTGCGCTTGGAGGCATCTTGGGCCGTATCGGAGGCCTCTTGGCTCGTCTTGGAGCCATCTTGGCCGTCTGGGAGCGCTCGTTTGGCGTCTCGGGGCCCTTGTGGGCCGTCTTGGAGACGTCTTGGGGGCTTCGTGGCCCGTCTTGAGCCCCTTTTGGACCCAAAAGAGCCCCGTGAACCGCTCGTGGGGGGCCCGGGGGGGGGTCCGCCAGGGGGGGGTCGAATCGCCGGTTTGGGGTCCCTGGGGGGGGACTATAGGGGGGGGAACTATCTCACACGCCTAGAGACCCACAAGGGGTCGGCGGATTCAAAGACGACGTCCTGGTGAGCATTGGGGGCCCTGCACTAGGGGGCTGTCTTTGCAGGGAGCTCATGGCTAGGTCAGGGTACTTCCGACTCCAGCTGGAGTGGCTTCCAGCTGGTGATGTCGAATGGCTGGATCTTCAGATTTCCAGGCACCGTGATCGCATAGGAACCCGCCCAAGGTTCAATTCGGCCACTCTAGTTATACCCCTCGGTAGAAGCAGCGTGCACCCAGTATATACGCACATATCGTGGCCGGCAATGCGCGCCTAATGCATATGAAAAGTGTGTGTGTGTGTGTTCCCATCCAGTCTTTTTCAACAGTGCTACGTTGATTACCGGCAGCGGTTATCCCATGCTTTCCTATCACAACATGTAATCCCGACTTTACTTTTCCTTGAATGGTTCATGGACCGACGTGTCTGCAGTGAGAAGCCAGCTCAGTAATCGCAAACGGTGTGGTTGAAGCTCCGATTCGCTCCTGAACTACAGGGCGTGGCTGAGAGAGCCCTCAGCGGCTTCGTTCTGTCCGCACCTCACAGCAGCATTCTGCAGCAGGCAATGATAGAAGCGCCATGCGTAACGATGTCTCTGTGTAAATATCTAGGAAAGCTTTCGGACAGGTTGGCAGGACTCGCCGACCCGAGCGTAGGAGGAGCTAAGGGTAGGTAGGTGGGATGATCATATTTGTCACGCAACTGTGACACATGAGAGTGGTTGCCTGGTTGCCTAGGGCTCTGCTCACCCACAGGCCCTGTCAACCAAAACTGTCTAGCACACGATCTTTGTGAACAGAGCAGGCTCTGCAGCACATGTGGCTCCCAAAGGGGGGAGGAGCCTTTAGCAGTTGTACCCGCGAAGCCCAGAAAAGAGAGCCGCAGGAGGACGGTGCAGGAGAGGGAGGAGGCCCGCGGCGCGGAGCGAAGACCCAGCATCACGCCATGGGGGACAGCCTCGCGACGGCTGCTTTCTTCTCGCGAGCCCCGGCGCCTGGTGGGTCGTTTCCAGGCCCCCTGGGGCCACAACGCCTCCCCGCGGCGAAACCTCGGTCCGTGGGGCGCGGTCGAGAGCCCGCCGGGGGGGGGGGGGCGGCGTCCGGCCGCGTGGTTTTGGTGGGCTGCGCCGCGCTGGAGCTCCCCCGCGCCTCTCCGCAGCGCCCCCCCCCCCCCTCTCGTTCCCCCGCAACTCTGCAGCGCGAAGCGGAGGAACTCGTGCAAGCAAGATCGGCGTCGATGGTTCTCAGCAGCTGTCTTCTGGAGCAACGAAGTCTCAGGGAGGACGTCGGGAATGGCCAGTGCTTCGAGTTGTTCTGGGTCTGGGGCCACGGCCCTCTGCGCAGGCCAGTGACGGCTCGCCTTCTCCGGAGGACCTCTCTGCGCTCCGCTCTGCTCCGCTCTGCTCCGCTCCCCGTTCCCTTCCCTTGCACCTCTCTCGAAGGGCGGGGAGAAAGAACGTAGTTTCGTCCCCCCGCTCCCCCCCTCTAGTCAGGTCCGCATGAGCCCCTCCGTGGGCCTTGGGGGCAGCAAATGCGGACCCATAATTGGACGTGGAAGTACGGGAGGCCTGCACTGGCTGCTGGCTCCTCCTGAGGAAAGGCTAATGTGGACCTCCTGTGTGACAACACTGCAGCCGGTGTGACGTAGAGATCCATACATCCTCCGATGCGATTTTTCAATTCGCTGCCCCAGAGCTCCCGAGCTCTTTTCCGAGAGTAGTTTTTTTTCGTCCTGGATCCGTATTTGATTGCCCCAGGGCCCACAACGAGCCCCAGTGACCGAAATCGAGAAAAAACCCGGATTGGCAAACATCGCGTCGTCGGAGATCTAGGAGGCACTGCGTTCCAGTTCAGCTCCCCAGACACTCGATGTCTTATTCGTTCAATGCGGGGTCCCCAGGAGTCCCGATTTTTCTCCAGAGTCATTTTCAGCGGTCCCGGGAGCCGGCGAGGGCCCCCAGAGACTGAAAACCACGAACAACTTTCGTCATTTTTTTCTTGACGTTGGATGTCTGTGACCCCGTTCTGAACAAAAACAATACATCCGATCTCTGGAAAGGTGTCCCTGACCCAAGGTGTCCCCAGCCTTTCTCTTTATTTTGGAGCTCCAGGGGCCGTCTGGGCCTTGTGAGGGGTACTCTGGAGGCCGTGAGGGCCTCCCCTGGAAGTCCCGGGGGGCACCTTCGGCCAGGGACACTTCTGACATTACCCGATCTTGCGTCTCCCTCTGGTCATTCGCCACAACGGAAACCCTAACACTCGGACGTTGCATTGTTTTGGCGCTTTGTGCGTTTTCGCGAGCCCTTCCATCCTGAGTAGTCCTGTGACGGCCTTGGGGCCTTGCGAGGGCACCGGGAGGCCGAACATTGCCAAGCACTATCCGTTGTGTTTGTGGCTTTGTTGTGAGCTTGCCTCTTCCTGATTCACACCTGTTCTTCCTCATCATCCACATGCCATTCTTATCCTTGTTGCTCTTCTGACTGTCTGCTCTCTTCGATTCAACTAATAAGTGGCTGTCGGTGGCGCGTGCAATAGGGGGCGGCCTTCTAAGTAGGCGGGGGCCTTCTCAGAACGCAGGGGCCTTCGTAGAAGGGTCCAGAGGCTTCCAAGAAGGCTCGTGGAAGCCAGGAGGGCCCCTAAGAAGCCTCCCCACACTCCAGGTTCGAGGCAGCCCCCCTCGCTCCACCCCGGAGCCCTGCGCGCCGCCAAGACCTGGGCCCCCGGACGATGGGCGCCAGGCTGGTTCCGACGGGCTCCCGCACGTGCCGCCGCCCCCTCGTCGTTCCGTCGCGGCCCAGGCCGGGAGGCGGCACCGAGGGCGAGGGGCCGCAGCTGCTGGAGCGCATGCTGGCCATGTCGCTGGAGCGTTGGGTCGCCTGCGGAGGCCTTGCGGGAGCCCCTGCCCCCCTGTCTGCTCAGGCCGCCCAGATGGGGTCGAAGCGGGTGGGTTCGGAGGATCGCGCCGCATCGCCGACGCATCGGCGATGCGGCGCGGTGTGGAGCCCGATGTTCTGCACGCCGACGTCGCCCATGCATCGCCGATGCGGCGCGATCCTTCGGTCCCATCTGCTCGGACCCCACTTGGGGGGCTTTCGGGAGGACGAGGCCAAGCCAGGAGTCAGGACGCAGTCCAGGAGCTTTCAGCATGAGCACGGCAGAGCACAGCACTTCACGCAGCGCTTCCCGTGGAGCGAGCGGGCAGCCGGCTTTCACCATGTGTCCAGGACGCATCAAGTAACCATTCGGCCATAATCTAATAAACAGTCAGACTAACAAACCTATCGGGCCCGAACACCATGTGTTCAGCAATCGTTCAATGAGTACTCAGCAGGCGCCGCAATGCACGGCCGAGGAAGCAAATATCACGCACGCAACATTACGCCTGGCAGGCATGTTGGACAAAAAGCAGTAACCATCCAGCATTGACCTAGCAGACATACCCAGCACGTATCACCAAGTTAGCCCGTGGGTAAGAATGTTGTAAGCAACTCACGCGCTTAGCAATTCTTGGCTAAGCGTTGAGCAATGGTTATATTCAAACGCTTCGTGCATTCCGCTGGCCTATATTGATCTTCCTTGCCATTTCCCTGCGCGCTCGTGGTCAACGGGAAGTCGCTGGGTGGTGGTAGTTTTCTAAATCTGTCGTGTGATGCTCGCGTGGAGGAGAACCAGTTGATGGGTACATTGAACACAACACTTAACAGAGCCCGCCACCACCCAAGTCTCGCCATCGAAGCCCGAGAGTACGAGAAGGCAATTTTAAGCCCCATTCGCGGGCTGTCGGAGCTGTGACTGGCTTGGGGCCATCTTGGGGCCGGCCTGCGGCTTGCCACCCATTGGTCCCCGCTCTTGGGCTGCGCTTCTTTCCTGGAGCCTCCCTGGGGCCCTCTCGAGGGATCTTCGGGCTCTCCTACGGCCCCAGGACGACAGATTTCACCTCTTGGATCTGGAAAGGACGGCTTGAATGCGACCGCGACATGTGCGAGTGGAGTTGTGGCGGATCTGAATAAGTGTACGCGGATCCGATTTCCGTTCCGATCGGAATTGCGGTGGATCTGAATTCTGTCCGCGTGGATCTCCGCAATGTTTTTTTAGGGGGGGGGGGCACATGAATGTGATTGGTACCCCGCTGTGGGGTTATAAAGTAAAGCGAAACGGGGGACCGACGAGAAGTCAGATCCAACTCCCCGGGACCCGCCCGTGTCGTGTCAGGATTCTACGGGGCAAGGGGGTTGCCGTACGGAGGGTCACGGTTCGCATTTCAAGAGACATCTTCTGCCTTGCGTGAGTACGTTATTTTGGTGGTGTTCTTTTGGAGCCCTCACGGGGTCCTACAGCAGAGTATCATGGCCTCTGAGGGCTCTGCCGATACCTTCTCGGGACCACCGCGGGGCCCGAGAAGCCCACTGGATCCCGCAGGACAAGACTGCACCGAACAGCCGAAGCCATGCTCTTTGCGATGATTCTCTGGCTGTTTGAGGGGCCTCCGAAGGGGGCATATTCGGCCATTCAGGGCCATCCTTGCAGTCCATGGGGCTGTCTCGGTCCATCCTGTGCCACCTTAGCACCATCTTGGGGCGTCTCATGGCTCCCTTCTCGTCGTCTCCTCCCGCTTCTCCCTCCCCTCTGCTCTGGTTCATCTCATACTCGCAGGGGTGCCGAGTGCGCACTCTTCTGCCCGCACGTCACGTGGTAACCTGGCTCAGTGGCGGCAGTGTTGCCCAAGCGCCGTGCCCAGGGCCGGCGCATGACTTCTGTATTGTACTTGGGCGCCTTGGGGCCAGCCTAGGGCCATGTTGAGACTGGCGCCGATTGACCCGCGCTCTCGGGCCGCTCTTCGGCCCTCGTGAGGCTCTCTTGGGGCACTCGTGGGGCCCCCTTGCGGAGTGCTGGGGCCCTCTGGGGGCTCTCTTGGGGCCTTTTCGGGATCACCACTGGGCCCGAGAAGCCCATCGAATCCCGCAGAGGCAAGACGTCCCCGAACAGCAACAACCATATTTCATTTCCTCAAACAGTGCTTGCACTTCGGGGCTTTGACTTGCCTTTTAATCGGAGTTGGGTGGGTGCGTCGAAGGTTCGCCACGTTCCAGCCCGTTGCCGCCCGTTGTCGTCCGTCGCCGCCCGTTGCCGCTTGTGCGGGTGCGTCGAGGATTGGCCACGTTCCAGCCTGTTGCCGCCCGTTGCCGCCCGTTGTCGTCCGTTGCCGCGTCGAGGATTCGCCAAGTTCTGGCGCGTTGCCGCCTGTTGCCACCCGTTGCCGCCTCGTTGCCGCCACGTGCATTGGGTGGGTCTGGCTAGGTTTCGCCACGTTGCCGCCTCGTTGTCTCCTCGTTGCCGCCTCTAGCTTGTGCCGCGTACACTGCACCACGTAGTTTACACCACATATCTTGCACCACATAGCTTACACATTTACAGAGCAGTAACCGACTTTGTGGTCCACGCATGCTGACATTTTTCCCCTTTTATGATTCGGGCCGTTTTGGGGCCTCCGCGGGGACGAAGCGGAGGATGTCGATCATTATGCGAGCTAGTTGTTCAAAAGGCGATCTCGTCTCTGCCCCGGCCTGCTTGTACCTGACTTGCACTTTCCAACCTTCAGCCCTAGACCATGCCAGCCTTAATCTAGCTGGCATTAGCTGTCATCTGGGGCACCTCATCATAGCTGCGGTTAGCCAATGCAGGCCCTTCTGCTGACCTTGGCGTCGATTACGATGACTGTCGCTCTTTCGTCTTACCTAACCTCGATGTGGCCCTCTCTAGCTGATCCCACTCTAGCTACGTCAGCGTTGACTCAGCGTCCACCATTTTTCCTCGACTTCATGTCAGCGCACCGAGATGTTCGTGAGGCGCGGAGGGCCGGGGGGGCGACGGTATGTTCAGTGGAATGCCGGGTGGAAAGTTGAGCCTCGAGGGCTGGAGCAGAAAGACGTTTTGGGAGACGAGGGAAGAGCTCGATGATGACAGGAGCCGATCGGGCCCATCCCACTCCGAGATCGAGCCTTCCAAGGCAGAGTTAGTTCGACGCCCTCGTGATGCAGACGTCTCGCTTCTCCTCCTTGCCCCTAGTACCCCGGACCATCCGTTGACGTTCAGTCCCATTCCAGGGAAGCAGGCCTGGGATCACCTCGGGCATACATTCTCTTGTCATTTACCTCCGACACCGTATCAAGTGCTACGAAGCAGTCGCTGCCGCTTCCACGAGGAATTCCGCATACGTGTGCTGCCGCGATCTGCTGATGACTGTTGCGCCGAACAAAATAGTCTGGGGCTCTCAGGAAGGGGGGCAGGCGAGGATTGCCAACGAGGACCACCAGCTTTACCTTCACGCCTATACCAAGAAGAGTGGAACCCAGGGTTTCTGGGTTTGCGCGATCTCCCAGGAGGGGAGGTCGTAAGTATGGCCCCCCTGCCACACATTAGGCTCGAGTGGGGCGCCACTGCCATAACCAGGGCATAAGTCCCTCGCCTCCCTCTCTCCTCCCTACCCTCCCTCTCTCCTCCCTGGCCTCGCTCTCTCCTCCCTGGTCGTTTTTGGCAAACACGTTGCCCATTGTGACTCTTGCTAGTCTGACGCACTCAGGCATCTCTCCTAGCATATGTGTTCCGCGATCTCTTTTCACTTGGCTCGTGATGCCAAAGGCGCGCGCGCGAGGTCACAGGATCAGCATCAACACACGTGGATGTTGCTATGGGAAAGCAAGAATATGGCATAAGCCACTCGAGCAGGGCGCTGCCTCGAGCAGGGCGTGGGTGCGGCCCGAAAGCAGAATGGGGCCTCCAAGTTTTCTCCGTCTCTTGTCGCCCCATGCGCGCCCCTCTTCTCCTCTTCCTGAGATCCGACGTCGCGAAAAACATGCAGCAGTGTTACCCGGTCGTACTGTTATACGGTGTTGCAGCAACACCGTATAACATTACGACCGGAGCCCTAGATCCCGCTCTTCCGTAAGATTTTCCCACCCGGATCAATTTGTGGTGGCGATCCTGGCGCCCGAGGCGCGCCGAAGACGCCCGTTGTGAAAAAATACAACGCCTAGACCTGGTGCTTCTGCGGCGTCTCGCCTTCGACAGCCACCGGCATGCCCAGGACGCTCTGATCGGCCAGTGCGCCTGGGCGACTCGTCCCTGACCGTGGCGGCTGCTCGTGGCGCCGTGTGCGGCGTGAGAGAGAGAGAGAGGGAAGGAGCACATTCGCTTACATATGTATATGTTCATTTGCACACACACACACACACACTTCCAATTGTGTGTTTTCACGTATAGGTGTGTATCTACATCTATATAGGCGTTCTTCAGTGTAGACATGCTTATATTCATACATACAAGTTTATACACATGCATGCATAAAGAGGTGTATACGTATGTGTATATTGATATACACACATACGTATATATAATGTGTATATAACTCTCTAGAGCGAGAAAGATCAAAGGGGGAGAGAGAGAGGTAGAGATATAGAAAGAGAGACTTGGACTTCGAGGATGGGGGGTGCGGGGTACAGATCAAAGGAGTGCCAAAAGACAAGGAGGGCCCGCCCAACTCATGAACTCACCCGCTCAGCCTGCAGGGTGTCCGTATGCCTTCCGTGCAGCAGGATTCCCGTCAATTAAGCATCATGTTCCCCATCACTCCTGGACCTCCCCACCCATATCTGAGGCGCAGCCTGAGATGGAGCAAGATGGAGAGGAAAGGAGGGAGGATGTTCGAAGGCAGCAAAAAGGGTCCTGCGCGAAAGGGCCCGAAACGAGTGGCAAGGGCCGCCAGCTCGGGGCTTCATGTCAAGCAAACTCTTGCTCTTGCTCTTGCCGCTCCCAGGAGGAACGCGACTGTGGGCGTCCCCAGCGGCAGCACGATCCCTCCGCGTGGCGATGATGAGTACCACCATCGCTAGGGAACGTCGCCATCGTAAGGCGCTCACGCCGAAGAGCAGTGCGATCATCTTGAGCATGGTGATGCCCTCGAGTGCCGCCAGGACTGGTAACTGCAACTGCCGCAACCGCGGGCGCCCAAGGATCGGCGGTGCCCGAAGACCAAGGATCGTTCGGTCGCGAAGTGCCATACTGTGCGCTTTCACCAGGGGACGGGATGGACTGCGAGCTTCACGATGAGCTTCATGGCTTCCCCGCACGCTTCCACCAGGAGGTACTGGATGAGTTGCGCCAGCAGAAACAGGAGGTTGAGCACAATCATCGCCTGCGTCTTCATGATGGCCCAGCCCAGAGCGCCGCCTGGGGGGCCTCGCCCATCCGCGTGGGGCGGCAGCCCCTTGTGCTTGAGGCCATTGGAGGCCTTGAGCATGGCCTGAACTGCGCGAGCCTGCGCCCTCGCAGATAGCAAATTGTGCACGCCGAGGGCGCTGCGGGCGTCTGGACTTCGCGCACCATGACGGGGGCATCCACCACGAGGAGGGCGGGGGGCCGAAGGCGAGGCCAAGGGCGCGCAGTGGCAGACGCAGGAATCGCCCTGACGCTAGCTCGCAGCTGGCGTGACCTGAACCGAAGCTAGATATATACATTCATCTGTTTGTGTGCATGCTTGTATGTATGCATGCATGCATGTAGGTAGGTGGGTGATACGTGGGTGCGTAGGAAGGTAGTTAGGTAGGTCTGTATGTCTGTGTGTCTGTCTGTATGTGTGTGTGTGTGTGCATGTACGTATGTATGTATGTATGTATGTATGTATGTATGTATGTATGTATGTATGTATGTATCTACGTATGTATGTACATGTATATATACATATGTATGTATTTATGCACGTAGGTAGGTATGTAGATAGACAGGCATGCAATTGGGTAGATAGGTAGGTCGGTCTGTATGTATGTGAGCATACCCACCTATCTATACGCATGCACACATGCATGTATATGTGTATGTATGCATGTCATGTACATGTATGCATGTATGTATGCATATATGCATGCATGTAGGTTTGCACGTACATGTGTGTATGTATATACGCATTTATGTATGCATGCATCTATGTCCGTATGTCTGTTCTGTGTTTCTGTATGTGTGTGTATGTATGTATGCATTCATGCAAGCATGTATGTCTGTTTGTATGCATGCATGCATGTATGTATGTCTGTTTTGATGTAGGTACGTCTGAGTGTATGCATGATTGTATGTATAGCTGTAGGTGTGTATACTCGTGCGTGTATGTATGTATGCGTGCATGCATGCATGCACGACTGTATGTATGCATGCATGCATGCATGTATATAGATATGTATGCATGTACTGGAATGCATGTATGTATACATGCATTTCGATGTTCAGTTGCATTTTTTTTTTTTTTTTTTTTTTTTTTGTTTTTTTTTGTTTTTCTTTTTTCTTTTTATATACGTATGTATATACGCGTCTGCCTGTGCGTATTCATGCATTAAGGTATGCATGCATGCATGTATGTGTGTATGTACGGATGTATACTTGTGCGTGCAGGTATGCACGTCTGCATGCATGATTGTCTGTATGCATGCATGTGTGTAATTTTGTACGTATGTGTATGCATGTGCGTATACATGTATGCATTCGTATGTTTGTATGTATGCATGTATGTATGTACGTACGCATATGTAAGTGTATACGTCGGTGCATGTATGTATGTATGTATGTATCACGTGTGTGAACGGTGTGTATGTATGTACGTATAGAAGCATACACCGATATGTATGTATGTACGTTCGTACGTATGTATGTATGTATGTATTAGTATTTGTGTTTGTATGCATGCAGATCTATGTATAACTGTAGGTATGCATGTATTTATGTCTGTATGCATGCATGCATGTATGTATGTATGGCTGTAGGCATGTATTGCTGCCTGTATGTAGTATGTGTATGGATGTATGTGTACACATATATGCATACCTATATATGTGCATGCTTGCTTATTAAAGTGTGTGTACGTATGGGCGCATGTATGTATGCATGTATGCATGTATGCATGTATGTGTATGTGTGTATGTATGTACGTACGTACGTATGCATGTGTGTAGTTATGTATGTATGTATGCATGTATGTTTGTACGTACGTATGTATGTACGTATACACGCATGTATGTATATAGTTGTATGCATGCATGCATGCATGCATGCATGCACGTGTATGTATGTATGCATGTATGTATGTATGCATGTATGTATGTATGTAGGTATGTCTGTATGTATGTATGTCTGGACGTATGGATGTATGTATGCATGTATGTTTGTTTATATATATATATATAGATGTATGCATGTATGTATGTATGTATGTATGTATGTATGTATGTATGTATGTATGTATGTATGTATGTATGCATGCATGCATGCATGCATGCATTCATGCATGCATGCATGCATGTATGTATGTATGTATGTATGTATGTATGTATGTATGTATGTATGTATGTATGTATGTGTATATGTATGTATGTATGTACGCATTGTCATAGCATACATATATAGGTGCTTGCATAGGCGTGCATGAACTTTTCGAAGGCATCTTATCATAATGAGAGGGAAAGATAGAGCCTCCATTCTCAGGGGCAGCGAGCCCCCTGTGGCCAGGATCGGGGTCAGGCGGGGCATGGGGGGAGAGGTCGGGCAGTGGGCGAGGCGAGCGGGTGATGGGCAGAGAGCCGAGGAGACGCCGACGATGCGGCCATCGTGGTGCAGAGCCCGGAGGTCGCGGAAGCGCTGGTCGGCGCCCCGCTCCCGATGCTCGTCTCGGGCCGAGTCTTTGGTGGCTGCTTCGATCGGGCGCCGTGGTGCCGCGACGTGGGGAGGGAGGACGAGTGGGAGGAGGAGGAGGAGGAGGAGGAGGAGGAGGAGGAGGAGGAGGAGGAGTTGGATGAGGAGCAGAAGGAGAAGGAGGAGGAGGAGGAGGAAGAGGAGGAGGAGGAGGAAGAAGAAGAAGAGGAAGAGGGGATGGGCAGGAGGAGGGGTAGGAGGACGATGAGGTGAACGTGGCGGAGGACCATACCTCGCCCGGCCGCCCGCCTCGGCCGCCTCCTTTGCCGCCGCCGGGCCCAAGTCCTCGTCCCCAGGCCTGCTTCTGGGGTCCACCCCGACCAGGTCATCGAGCCGATTTTCAGCCGGTGGCGACGAGAGTGCCCAGGGGCGCCCTACAAGATTTCGAGATGACGTCGTCGTTGTCGTCGTCGTCGTCGTCGTCGACGTCTCCTCATGCCTCGAAGCCCGTAAGCCTCCCCCCCCTTCCATGGCAAATCGGCCTCCAGACCTGCCCAGGGGTGTGTGCTTTGGCCACAACCTCGAGGGGAATCTGGCCGTGGTGACAAGGAGCGTTCAGGAGGTCTCAGAACGCGGAAGGACCTCGGTCCTCAATCATCGAACCTCGATCCTCGTCGCCACCCCACCGTCAGTCGTCGCAGCGCTCCGCCTGCGACGGTGGCGTCCCCGAAACGACGATGGCGACGGCGACGACGTCGACGACCACTGCTGGACGGTGACGGCGACGACGGCGACGGCGACGGGGTCCCCGGCATGAGGACGACCACTGCTAAACCTCGACGGCAACCGCTGGACGGCAACGACGGCGGCGATAGCGACTGCGGTGACCACCAGTGGACGACGACGACGACGACGACGACGGCCAGAGGTCCCCACCGCGTCCGCCTGCTTGCTCAAGGGGAGGAGGAGGAGGAGGAGGAGGATGGGGAGGAGGAGGAGGAGGAGGAGGAGGAGGAGGACGACGACGAGGGGGAGTTTTTTTCTCGATACGCGAACCACGCTGTACTGAGCCTGGGACGCACGTCTGGCGCAGTGGGCATTTACCTAATGAAGGAAAGGGGATGGGGGAGGAGGGGGAGGAGGAGAAAATACTAGGCGTGCGGCACGGCGAACGGCTTAAGATGCCGGCGCTGAATTTGCGCCGCCGCTGGGGCCATCGGGCAAGATGACGAGACCCCCAAATTTGGCGTCTATGGCCAGCTCGCCGAAAGGTTGGGGCCGACGATCGCCCAAGGACTCACCGCTGTGAGGTTCCCGCGACTCTCGCAGCCAGTTGAGGCGGAAGGCGGTGGCGCTCTCTCTCACGACACCCCCGCGGCAGCCCCCCGCGAACGCCCTGGTGGAGAATGAGGAAGAGGATGGAGGAGGAGGAGGAGGAAGAGGGGGAGGAGGAGGAGGAGGAGGAGGAGGAGGAGGAGGAGGAGGAGGAGGAGGAGGAGGACCAGTGTAAGCCCAAGATGCATCAACGATGTTGCACGAAACCCTCCCTACACATTCCTCTTCATAGGTCCCTACAAGAGTTCATTGTGGGAAGTGCCCCGTTGAAAGACATCGTCTGAGAATCCCCAATTGTGCCACTAATTCCTGGAGCCTCAACGCCGCGAATCAACGCGACTGTTATGTCCTGACAATCCTGAATCGTGCCAGAACACCGTTCCTGGGATTTCAGCACCGCGAATCAAAGAAGCTGTTGCGTCCTAGCTATCCTAGGTCGCGCCAGAACGCAATCCTTGGAATTCAACCCTACGAGTCATTGAAACAGTTGCACACTTCTAAGACGAATGCGCGCGACGCTAAGGCGACAAGCGCACTTTGAAAATCACTAGCAGTCCATTTTTGAAACTGTTGCAAGCTTTTACGACTAATCTTCGCGGCGCTAAGGCGAGAGTCACAATTTGAAAAGGAGGAGCCCTCTATCCTCCAAGCTGTTGCAAACTTTCAAAGCGAATGTGCGCGTTGCTAAGGCGAGAGCCACATTTCGAAAACCACCCTCCCTCCATTTTTGGAGCTGGTGCAAACTTCTAAGACAAATGCGCGCGGCGCTCAGGCGAGAACCACATTTTGAAA